CATAGCAGCACAATTCACCATAGCTAAGATTTGGAAACAGCCTAAGTGCCCATCAGCAGATGAGTGGATTAAAAAATGGTGGTACATCTACACAATGGAATACTACACTGTGGTTAAAAAGAAGGAGTACTTACCATTCGCAACAGCATGGATGGAACTGGAGAGCATTATGCTAAGTGAAATGAGCCAGTCAGAGAAAGATAAATATCACATGATCTCACTCATTTGTGGAATATAATGAACAACATAAACTGATGAACAAAAACAGGTCCAGAGACAGAGAAGCATTGATCAGACTGTCAAACCTCAGAGAGAAGGTAGGGGAGGGCAGGGGTAGGGGGAAAGATCAACCAAAGGACTTGTATGTATGCATAAAAGCCTAACCAATGGACACAGACACCAGGGCAGTGAGGGCATGAGTGGGGTGTTGGGGGGCATTCGGGGGATAAGGACACATATGTAATACCTTAATAAAGAAAAAAATAAAATGAATATTAAACATTCAAAAAATACTAGAACAATATCTGAGACACTCTGAGATTAGAAGATGCCCTACTGTTGCCTATTTTCCTAGATATAACTATAATATGAACATAATTTCAATTAAATTCCCTCTAGGAGTTTTTATGAAATGGACAAGCTGATTCTCATGTTTACTGAGGAGAAATAAATACAGAAAATGTACAATAAAACTATAATTGAAAGCAATAGGTGGCAAATCTAGAAAATATCAAAATGTAGTATGCAGTTTTAATAATTAAACTATGCTATGATGCTGCAACAGACAAATGCATCAACAAGTCAGAACAGAAGGCCCACAACTTACAGTAAATATGAATTTGGCATATCAGAAAAGTTTCATTTCAAACTGAGTTGGGAAAGGATTGTCCCAGTGGTGCTAGGACAACAGGTTGACCTTATCTAAGTCATATTTATACCTCTTACTAAGTATATAAAATATATTCCAAAATTAATTTGGTTGCTTGGCAGCAATAAACTACTAATATATGTTCATAAACATACAGAAATTGTTAAGGAACAGTATTGGGGTAGAGAAGATCTACCTGGGCAAGCAAAGTCCAAATGTCACAAAGGAAAATGTTTATCTCTATCTATCATCTATCTATCTCTCTATCTATCTATCAATCATCTATCTATCTATCTACCTACCTACCTACCTATCTATTTGAAAGAAATTGTGGTCTGGTTAATTTTTTTTTTAGAGTTTTTATTTTATTTTACTGGCATATTTTCCTTCCTTTATAAGTTTGTTTGCTGGTTATAATTACTCAATGTCAAGATGTTTTCTATAGGTAAGACTCCTATGAAAAAATTATTTATTGATAGTGGCAAACTGTCCCCTGGTGAAAAATCTGTAATTGTTGTTTAACTTAGGGGTATTGATCTTTATTTTTACAAGAAAAGAAACTATTTTCAATCCACTTGCCATGCTGCTAAGTCTTATTTAGATGTCATGGTCTGGTAAATTTAAATATCAATTAGAGATTTGAAAAATATCTTCTATATAATTATAGTGAACTAAAAACCATGCTGGGCAGGAGTTTCTAGACATCGATACATTAAATTACTGTTAGGGGTTGAATTATACCCCCCCACGCCCCAAATTCTTAGGTTGTAGTCCTAACCTTAGGTACCTGAGATGTAACATCATTTGGAGATGGGTGTTTACAGAAACCATCAGGTTAAAATTAGGTTGCTCAAGTGGGTTCTAAACCAACAAGACTGGTGTCTTTATAAAAAGGGAAAGTTAGGCACAGAGGCGCACACAGAAGACACTGTGAAGAGACATAGGAGAAGACAGACATCTGCTAGCCAAGGAGAGACACCTGGATCAGATATTCCTCCATAGGCCTCTAAAGGAACCAACTCTACCAACAACTTGATTTTGGATTTCTAGCATCTAGAATTGTGAGACAGAAAAGTATATGTTGTTTGAGGCATCCATGCTGTAGTTACCTTGTTACAGAAACCTCAGGAAAGTAATATAATAACTAACTCAAAATATGAAAGGATAAAAGGAATACATAGATAATTCATAAAGGAAAATATAAGTAGTGATAAAGTTATGAAAATATAATCAATATTCCTAATGATAGAAATTATATTATATAGAAGGTATCATTTTCCACTCATGCCATTAACAAATATTAAATAAAGGAGGGAGACTATTTCCAGCTCAGGTGAATGTGTTGAGAAGAACATAAAAATGTATGGAAAATTAGGCACAGGGGCACAGTGAATTAAACATTCACTATACCCCTCTTAGAACTTAGCAATACACAATAAGTTCTGTTGTGAAATTGAAATAAACTCCTAACCAACTCAGTCTGTTCTCACAGCATAATGGTTAAGACATTGAAAACTGAAGATTGACTGATATACCTCTTCCTTAATAGAAATATGTTCTTGGAAGTTACTATCCTTGTGACTCAATTTCTTCAACTGTAAAATGTGGGGTTAATATTAGTGCTTATCTCATAGAGTTGTTCTGAAGATTAGATAAGTAAGTATATATAACATTATTTTGTATGTAATACATTGTCAATGCATGTTATCTAACATTGTGATTTATTACGGGCACTTAAGTTAATTCTGCCACATTCAGGGGAAACAAGGTGGGGCATGAAGTAAAGTTGTATGATTAGAATTAGATGAAAATGAGCCTTACTATTTATTATTTGACTTTGCTAGTGAGATAAAAGGAAACCTGGGGCATTAATAACTACCTGATTACTGGCTGATTACTGTTCATCAGTGAAAATCTCAAAACCAGGGAAACACATTAAAGTTCTTAGCAGTGGGGTATTCCAATTTTCTTCAAACAAGAAGAATGGGATGAGTGCTGGAGACCTACATTTTAAAAATGAGCAAAAGTGCCTGGCCAGTGTGGGTCAGTGGATTGAGCATTGTCTCATTCACCAAGAGGTCACCAGTTCAATTCCTGGTCAGGGCACATGCCCAGGTTGTGGGCTAAATCTCTGCTTGGGGGTGTGTAGGAGGCAGCCCATAGATGTTTCTCTCTCATTGATGTTTCTATCTCTTTCCCTTCCTTTCTCTCTAAAATTGATAAAATAAAAAATTTAAAAAATAAGCAAAAAATAAGGAATTATAATAGAAACCTATTGAAGATGACACACATTTTTCATCACTAGGGCCATTGGTAGACCAAGTTTCTTTATAATTCTTCAGAAAGAGCACACATTCATCGGATTTATAAATAATAGAGATTTTTTTAATTTAATTACCTGTTATGGGATTAAAGCTTTACATAAATTGGTCCATTTAATACATAACAATCTGAGAAAGGTTGCATTTTACCAGTATTGCATTTTACCAGTACTGATTAAAAAACTAAAGAGAAAATTTGAGCCATTTTCCTCCAAGTTTTATATTTAAACTTGTTAACCCAACTTTCACTGAAAAACTGTTGTTCCTATGACTTCTCTCATTGAAGGACTGTGTCTAATAGTTGCCTAAGCCAGAAACATAGCATCATTTATAACAAAAGCCCTCCCACTCTTTCCCCCATAATACACGCAGACAGATACTTTTAAATTATATATTATTGATTCAATTTTGTATGTTTTGCTGAAATCAATTCAAGCTTGCCTGCCTCCAGTGTTTCTAATCTAATTTAGGCAGCCTCAATCATTTCCCTGGATTATTGCCAGGGTAACTTCCTTTCTTCAGTTCACTCCCCAGTTTTTAACCAGGAGAATATTGCCAAAACATAAATCAGACACTTCAATTACTTCCCCTTGTTTTCAAAACAATGCACAAACACCTAACCATTACTTAAGAATCTTGCATAATTTTGCTTATGCTTTTCACATTCCATTTCAAAGGCAAACCTCCCACTGCCTAATTAGGTCTCCAAACCATCTGACATGTATGCTTTATTTTTAATTCTGAAACTCATTTTCAATATTATTTACACATGCTTTCCCCCTTAGTATAGTTAATTTCTACTTATCTTTGAAGGAGCACCTTATGTATTTTATATTAGTTTCCCCAGAAAGTTTCCCCTGGAATACCAACTCTCCTGTGTTCTCCAGTTAATCATTTTAATCTTCTACAATCAGTTACAGTTCTATGCTGCACTGGCAATTATCTGTTTCCTCATATACATTCCCCTGCTACACACACACACACACACACACACACACACACACACACATACACACTCACACACTTCAATCATTCATTCCTTAAATAGAATAATAGAATAATAGAATTTTAGGGTAGTAACTTAATTTCTCTGAACTCCCTCCCCCCCCCCAAATGATATCATATGTGTCTTATTTTCTTGCAAATATCACAAGACTAAAATAGAAAAAGTATATATATATATATATATATATATATATATATATATATATATCCCGTAATTGTTAACAAACCTGTTCAAATTCCACTATATTTATAGACTGATTTTCATAGACATTTTGTATTCCCAGTAGCAATAGAGACCCTTAGACATGTTTGGAAAAAGTGCCTTTTCAATGGGCTTCCTTCCCTACAAACCAGGGATGAAACAAGTTCCCTATATTCTGTTCTGGCTCTACTCCCAAGTTTGCTCCACCTCCTATGTCAGAACCTGTCTATATAGTTGAGATACATTGGTACAAATCATATTTTGTGCTGCAAAACTTCAAGGATCTTTGAAAAAAACTGTGTTTGTGTCATGAAAATATCTATTTCCCAAGTGGAACCTGACAAAATATGTTGTGCATATAGAAGATGTCCAGTATTATTCGGCAACCTCACTGTAGCTTAGGTAGTCCTCAATGCAAAATAAAATCCTTCTTTTAACACTGTTTGGTTTTTCAAAGTTTCCCCTTTTGATGAAAGAATAAGAACAAAACATCCTGGTAATTAAGATTTCAATTACTCTAGGTTTTGCTTTAAATGTAAGGATTTGTGGTTATGACTAAGGTGGAAGCATTGGGGGGCTCTCACACCCTTTCTTTCTGTGTTAGACAGGACTATGAAGAGCTACAAAAGCAACTGAAAGAAGTCTTTAAGGAGCGAAGCACCATCCTCCGTCAGCTGACAAAGACATCAAGAGAACTTGATGGAATTAAAGTCAACCTTCTGGTGAGATGAAAACTAGTTTCCCCAGCAGCAAAGGATGAGGAGTCTCTTGGTTTGTCTCAACAGATTAGCATGTAAAGGTTCCTTCATTCTTTTAAACCAGTTTTGAATATGTTTATGGGCTTGACCATGAAATTGATTTTTATTATTATATCAGCTTTGAAAGGAAATGTCAACTAAAATGCAATCTGCGAATCTGTGGTTTGCAAATTTAGGAATGATAAAATTGTGTGTTTGGCAAAGCCATCAATTTCTCATTGTTTCCAAGGTCAATTTGACCCACCCCTGAGTTTTTTAATATTTTGAAATGATGAAAATTAATTATGATCGAGTTCAATAAATATAGGCATGTTTCCTAGAAAAGAATTTTAAATTCCACAAAGATTAATTCTGAAGATCCTTTAATAAATCTCTTACTTAAAATGGGTAAAAACCTTAGAAAGGAGAGTGCCATCTATAAAAATATATTAACACCCAGGAAATCTCAATAAAAAAGTCTACATGATAAGAAAACATTTCTAAAATATATGATAGCTAATATTTAGCTTAAACATTATATTTATTGAACATATGATATATAGTTAAAGCTTTGGCTATTTTATGGGATTTAATTTTCCTAATATATTTATGAGGCAGATACTGTTAATGTGATTTTTCCTGTTGCACATATGGAATCATGCTTTGAGAAGATCATTTATTTTTTAATGTCACAAGCGAAGGCAGACATTAAATGCAAGCAATCTGGCTCCACAGCCTGTCTGTTATTTATTGTACTGAACCATGTTTCAGAACCACATGGAGTCACCATTGTCTTTAGCTTTCTATTCCCCCAAGGGTGATGACAATGATGATTATGATGATGATGGTGCTAATAACCACCACAGCTTATGGAACATGGTCAAGCTCTTGTGTCAGGTACTCCATCTACAATTTTTATTTAATTTTCACATGACAACTATGCTCTGTTTATTTGTAGTTTCATTTTGTAGGTGAAAAAGCAAAGTTAGAGAATGGTTAATAAGCTATTACAAGCACAGAAAAAAGTCAGGTGGCAGAGCTAGTCTTTGGACTTGTGCCCAAGCTCTTGTTCCAGAAGTTGTTATATCTTGAGAACAAAAAAGAAAACCAAAACCAAACAAAACAACACATAAACACCCAGGTTCCAGTAGGGTGCACAGACAGGTCTCAGGATACCAGTGCTGGGATGGACATTTCACAGAGCCGTAGGGCAGCACTGACTGGAATGAAAAGGACGGTAAGTTGATTTTCATAGGAATCTGATACCAGAGCTTCACCTTCGCATTAGGCACAAATTCACTAGTTCTATGAGGTTACAGAGAATAGACAAGACACCTGCACCTCCTCGAGGCATGAAACGCCTGGCCCTTTGAGACTGTTTCAAGCACACAGTGAAGTGCCTAGGAGTGGTCCAGGTCACAGTATTCCCCAAACACTCAGTCTCTATGTATCAGTAGCCTAAGTCAAGGCATCTAATTACAATATAGAAAACGGCTTTATAAAAATATATCATTGCATGGGTTTATATTTGTAAAAGGGTAATAAGACATGTGTAGGCCACAGGATTGGTGATTTTCCCCATACTATAATTCCTTGTCCTATTTTCTTGGTATTTTCATGGGAAGTTACTCTTCCTAAATAAACATAGCTACTTTTATCGGCTGCTTCCTAATAAAAGCTGTCATTTTAGGGAAGAAGTTTCTCATGTGAGGTTCAGCCCACCGCATCCCTAGCAGAATGTTTATCTTATTATATGAAAGTTGTCTATTTTTAGCATTAGATTGAAAATTTGTGAAGGCAGACACTATGCCTCTGTACATGTTTTGCATAATTCAGTATAGATATTTGTTAAGTAAATACTGAGTAAACAAAGTGTTTGGCATTCTTGGTATTGTCAATTCCCTACCTGTTACGGCTTCTCTTCCAACAAACAATATTATTCCTCTCAATTTCAACTTTGAATATCAAGAAAATAGATTGCCCTATTACATAATTTACTAAGTATTAATAAGAAAGTACACCCTAGCTGCTTTTGCTCAGTGGATAGAGCATCGGCCTGTGCACTGAAGGGTCCCAGGTATGATTCCGATCAAGGGCACATGCTCAGATTGCAGGCTCCATCCTCAGTAGGGGCCATGCAGGAGGCAGCCAATCAATGATTCCCTGTCATCATTGCTGTTTCCATTTCTCTCTTCCTCTCCTTTTTTCTCTGAAATATATATATATATATGGAAAGTTCTTAGGGAAAACTTACTTAGGCAGACTTTCTAATAAGAAAGCTCAGTGAGCTTTTCTGTTTTAATTCATGGTCTGTAAATGCTGAATTTGCCAGAGTAAATAAACACTAATGACTGATGTGGTATTTTTTCTTTCTTAATACCCTATCTGTACAGACCAGTTATAATTTGACATGGTTTCATTTCTTCTTTGTATTCTATTAAATTATTCATAAATAATAAATAGATAAATCCAAACAGGAGAATGTTTTTTGGCTGCTTTGATCTTAAATTGTATTATAACTTTTCTTATTCAGGGAGCCCTTTTATACCCCCTTTTATTTCTAGAAGCTACTAGAGGCCCAATGCACAAAATTTGTGAAAGAGTAGGCTTTCCTTCCCCCAGCTGCTGGCACCAGTTTCCCTCTAGCACCAGGACCCAGGCTCCCTCCGGCCGCCAGCAGGCAGCCAGGACCTGGGCTTCCCTTGCAGCCCTGGCTTTGTCCAGAAGGTCATATGGAAGGATGTCCTGTCTAATTAATATATTATGCTTTTATTTATTATAGATACCAGAGTTGGCTTAACATAGCTGAGGAGGACACAGTAAAACTTCAAACAAAGTGAAGAAAATATATTGTATTTTATATTCACTTATTCAGTGACCTAGATAATTGAAAAGCACGTTTCCTCTACTGAACCTCTAAAGATTCAGACTCGGCTCATCCCCTTCGCCCACGTGCACTGCTTGGTGTCATATGTTCGTGTGGGCACCCTTAGAACCACAAGGCAAAAGTAAAGTGAGCCTCGATTTATCACTTGAATAAGACTTCCTTTTTCTCCTTTTCTTATTAGTCTTTGAAAAATGAAGAGAAATCTGCCAAAACTGATGTTCAGAAGCTTCTGGAAATAGGTCAGAAACAAAGGTAAGATTGTGCTTTCCTTTTAGTTTTTCAGTTCCTCTTTTCCACAGTGTTGAACTCTATTCAGAAACTTCACAAAAGTCAGTTCATTACAAATGTGCTAATTTATCTTCTTACACTTGAAGGTATGAAAATCTTATTTAAGTGCAGATTCTTATGCAGTAAATCTAGGGTGGGATTTGAGAGTCTACATTTCTAAGACATTCCCTGGTGACGGTGATACAGTGCTGCTTGTAGATGACAACTCTAGTGTTTAAGGATCTGCAGTATTCTCCAGGATTGCCTTAGATGATGGACCCTGATAAGTATGCCCATCAATAGACAGATCCAATAAGACTGACCTTGGTGGGTCAATTTTATTTATTTATTTCAGAGATGAAAGGAGAGGGAGAAAGAGATAGATACATCAGTGATGACAGAGAATCATCAATAGGCCGCCTCCTGCATGTCCCCCACTGTGAATCAAACCCATAACCCTGGAATGTACCCTGGCCGGGAATTGAACCATCACCTCCTGATTCCTATGTCCATGTTCCCCAACTGAGCCACACTGACCGGGCGGTGGGTCAATTTTTAATCAGATTCAAACTCAATCCTGGTGATAATAGTGGGGGTGGTGAGGAATGGGGTAATCTTATTAGCAACACTAGAGGCCTAATGCACAAAATTCATGTGCTGGTAAGGTCCCTAGGCCTGGCCTGCAATCAGGGCCATCTTCCCCAGCTGCCTGCAGCCAGTCCCCCCATCCACTCCCCCACTGCCACTCACCCCTGGTTCCCTGTTTGCCATTGGGTGATGGGAGCCTGACCGCCAGGGAAAGGGACCAAGAGGTGGTCAGTGTACCTCATAGTGACTGGTCGAGCAGTTGTTCTGGCCATTCTGCTATTAGGGTCAATTTGCATATTACCCTTTTATTATATAGGATAAGTAGAATTAATACAGTGTAGTAAAAGTTTGTTTATTCTTGAAGGACGTATATTATGAGACAGATTTCTATGCAATATCAAAGCTATATGATTTGAAATTGCTTCGCAAAGCAAAAGGTATTTTAAGGTAGAAACAAGCTAGCATTTATTATACATTTACTTGACTCTGCTGGATGCTGTATATATATTTTCTTGTTTCACCCTCCCAATTACCTTTTAAAGGAGCTATTATTATGCCCATTTAACAGATAGGACATTGTTCCTCAAAGTGCTTAAATGAATTGCTGAGAGTTGTTAATTGGAATTTGCTCTGTTGTGTTTTTAAACAATAGCCATACCCTTTCACTTTAGTTCATAGATCACAAAGCCAAAAGCTTTTAAAAATTTTACAATCACTACACTGTGTAGTCCCTGCTCACCATCTTCTATCTTCCCCACTGTTCTTGCCTCTTGACTCAAAACTCTCATTAGAATATATTTGGATTGAATTGATGACATGTTAAAAATATCAAAGCTATTGTCATATATTGACTATTTCTATTATTAAAACAAAATTATTATTTATTGAACATGAAATTCTTTTTGAACCCATTATTAAAAAGAGCTTGTAAAATATTTGTCTGAGCATATTTCCAAAAGTATATCATTTTAAATTATTTTATTGGTTTTAACTTAGCCATCTCTTAAAGCACCTATGCTTAATATTATACAACTATCTGTGGCTCATTGAATTAGTGTTGGAGAATTATAAACAGCACTTTAAAAAAGTAACTAGTCAGAATAGACCAAGAGTTTTCAGATTGATGGAGAGATATTTAAGCGATACTATATGAAAAGTGAGTATGTGTAGCCACACAATAGAGACTCTAGGGAATGGGTAGTAACCTAAAGATTCTGAAAGACTGTAGAAAAAGGTAATGTAAAACCTTTTATTCTATCTGATGGTTGGTGGTTGGAAAATTCTTAGAACGTAGTTTCGGACTCTGTGTACTAAAGGATTTTACAATATAGCATTCTCTGAAAATGAAGAGAATGCCTGGGGTAGTGGCAAATTCTCCATCTGTGAGGTTTTTATAATACAAACAGGTAATCACTTGAGAAAAAAAAATGCCTTCTTATAGAGTGATTGTGTGTGTGCGTGCGTGCGTGTGTGTGTGTGTGTGTTTATGTTTCTATTTGTGATGGAAAATGTATGAAACAGCTGAGCAAGTTAGAAATCATTTTTCATAGGAGTATAAATTAGCAAGTCTTGGAGGCAGAGAGAAGATAGAGAGACTCAGAAGATTCAAAAGACCCACTTTACCATTGTCTGATAGCTTTCCTTGCCATGAACATGTGCAGAATCCTCTAACTCCTCCAGATTTTGTTAATGGCTTTCACAGTTTATTTTTGTCTTTCTCCCTACATTGCCTATGTATCTCAGTATGTGGGAATTTTTTAGTCTATATCTGTGTTCATTTTTAAAAAAATATATAAGATTTCATAATTTAATTAAAATATAGATGTAGCATTTAAAAAGTAGAAAAAAATTAAAATCCACCATTTTAAAATCCAAAAATAATATTAAAAGGTTAATTGCTATAACATTTTGTTAGAATGGGTTATCAGTTGGGAATATAATTGTTCGATTGTATTTGTATTCAGTGCTTATTGAAGATTTAGGTGCTAAGGGTAGTATGCAGATTCATTCTCTCCCCCCCCCCCGCCCCCCCGTGTAGAGGTGGTATAATAACTCTCTAGAGCTTGAGCACATAGGCTCCAGATCACAATTCCACCCCTTCTCTATGCATCATCAGTTTTCTATCTCTAATATATCATAATTTGATGCAAAGCTTCTAAGGCTTATGAATCCCTACAATATATGTAAATATTTACAATCTCATTATATTCTCACAAATGCCCTTTGTGAAAAATATCACAAATGATAATGGAAGCCCAAAATTTAAGTGTCTATATATGAGACAATTCTCAGAAAATGAAACCTGTTTGAGGAAGTAATGGAAGCTGAGACTTAAAATCCACTCTAAGCCAAAAGCATGTTATGAGCTTCACCCAAGCAGGCATACATCATCTGAGAACCAGTGACTGTAATTATTTTATAACTTGTTTTGATTGTATTTTGCTTTGACAAAGTCCAAATTGGTTCCAACAATCATACAGACTCTCAATGATATTTCTGAAATTGAAATTGGGACCAAAGAGTTTGTAGAGTAAGAAATCTGGGCCCTGGCCAGGTAGCTTAGTTGGTTAGAGTGTTATCCCCATACCGCAAGGTTTCAGGATTGATTCTCGGTCAGGGCACATTCAAGAAGCAACCAATCAATGCATAACTAAGTGGAACAACAAACCTATGTTTCTCTCTCGCTTCCTTTCTCTTTCTCTCTCTCTCTCTCTCTCTCTCTCTCTCTCTCTCTCTCTCTCTCTCTCTCTCTCTCTCTCTCTCTCTCTCTCTCTCTTTCATCAATACATTTAAAAAAGAAAGAAATCCAGGAGGATCATTAAATCCCATTGAGTGAAAGAACAGGTCATGGTTGTGCAGGATGTGCTGATCAAAGAATGAACTTAAGGAACCAGATTGGTGCTGGTGGCTATGACAATAATCTCAAATTTATTAAGTGATTATATTTCCAGGCATTATGCTAAGCATTTTGCTTGCCTCATGTCATCTAAATCTCACTACAAAACTATGAAGTAGTTTTATTATTATGCCCATTTTTTAGATTAAAAAATGACTCTGAGAGGGTACTCACCTTTCCCCTCTTGTCTATATTGTGATTACACACCAGGGTTCCGGATTTAGTCTTTTGGCACTCACCTGAACTTAAAAAAGATAACACAATTTGTCATAAATGATTACATTTTAAACCCTTGAAAAGAATGCATATTTATGGAAACACTTATATTTTTAGCCAGTGGACAGGGCTCATATGTATTTGTGAGTTTGATAAATAATTTTATATATATATATATATATATATATATTCAGACAAGTATTTCTATTATTATCCCCAATGAATGCAGCAGTGCTCAAGTTAGAAATGTTTCCTTGCTCTGCTTTGTAAAAAGTCTCAGGTTTTATAAAGGATGTCTAAAGCACAATGCTTTAGAATTAATCAATTAGGAACATCAAAAGGGAACAATAACTTCTATCTTATTAGCAGTCTATGGTAACTTCTTCCTAACTAGCATGTTCACACCTTGGCATGCTATCACTAAAATTAGCTTTTCAACACTGATTATTATGTTGATTTAATTTAACACATTATGCAGCTCTCAGATGATGTACACAGTAGGATTCTCATAAGACACAATAGCAAGGCAATTTCCTTGAAATACAGCTTGCTTTTAATAGTTGCCTGGGAGAGAATACCTTTAATTACCAGAATTCTGAGATACACCCTGTATGCTTAACTGTGTCTATTCAATTCTGGTTATTTTTTCCTATATATATGTAGCCAACAACCATCCAGGAAATAACAGAATTGTATTAAGCCTCTCTTTTGCTCTGTTTCCTACTAAACTAGAGAACAAATGAAGTCTCTCCAGGAGGCCCTGCAAAATCAACTTAAAGAGACATCTGAGAAAGCCGAAAAACAACAGGCTACTGTAAGTGTGTTTCTCTTTTGGGTCCTTAGATGTGGGGCTGGGAAATTGTTACTTTTAAAAAATCACTATGGAACAAATATACATGTAAAAATGAAAATGAATATACAATAAAGAAAGTTCAGTCACCAATATCATAAAAATTCAAAAACATATTTGTTATTGTATGTGATCCTTAGGGGACTTCAGGTTTTCAACCCTCATTTAGGGATGAAAAACTTCAGCTTCCTGAAGACAACCTATCTAACAGTGACTATTGACTTTCCTAGGTACAGGATTGTATCTTACTAATGGGTTCACTGTTATCTGTTCTGCCCACATATAGGACAAGCATATGTTGGTTCTTCTCTGCTATGCAATGTATCCTAATGTTTGCCTCTCTAGACATCAGATGATACATAAAGAACAAACTTTCAGCATCAGCATATCATCTCTCCCTTTAACACCTTACCCAGCTTACTAGGTGGTCCTCATTTCAATCCCATTTCTGTCTTGACCTATCACATTTAATCAGGACTTCTTCACTGCCTTGTTGCAAATGATGGCAGAGCAGAATAGAAGTGCTCACACATACAAATAAAGAAAAAAAAAAAAAATATATATATATATATATATGAAATATGCTAATTAACCAGGACGCCGTAACAGGTCAATTGGACAGGAGGAGGTTGCACGCACAGCGTTGGGGGCGGGGCGGCAGAGGCCTCTGTGCGCTTGTGCTGGGGGAAGGCCTGATCAGAAGTGACCTCAGCTGCTTCAAGGTCCTTAGAGGGAGGCAGGGCTGGACCGGTGACTCGAGGGTGGGCAGTGCCACGCACGCAATTTCAAATCTCGCGCTGGGCTCCTAGTATATATATAGAGATAGAGATAGAGATAGAGAGAGAGAGAGAGAGAGAGAGAGAGAGAGAGAGAGAGAGAGAGAGAGAGAGAGAGATGATAGAGATAGAGATAGAATATTGATACATTGATGTGTGTGAGGGTGTGTGTGTCTGTGTGTATATGGAAAGACAAAGACAGAGAAAGGGCGGGTAGATGAGGGAAAGAGATCAGAATATATTTCAGCACAGAATTCTCCTTTTTCATTGTATCTTTTATAAAATTGAAATGTAAAAAAGAAAATTTAGCACATGATGTGTAAACCTTCAATTAGAAATAAAAATCTTAGAATGACTAGGCAAAGTGAAGTAATCCCAAAAGGTACACCTCATTCCTCTCTTAAAGTTAACAAATGCATACCCCATGCTACCATCTGATGACAAAGTCAGAAAATGTAGGCGTTACTATAGTCACAGTTCACAGTAGAGACAAAATTTCCAAAGGAACTTCAAAGGAAGTTTTACTGGAGCTGGCCCAATGTGTAAATGAGAAGTTACTATCTTGGTCTTTGATCTTTGCCAGAATATATAAAAGGAGATAAGCGAATGGAGAATGAAGAACGGAGGAGAGTAAATTTCAGATAGCTTTAAAGTCAGGACACTTATTTCTCCTGTGAGAGCCTCTTATTATGTGGTACTAGTCCCCTTAAGAGAATAATCCACTGCGATATTCTGGGACAGAGGCTGATAGAAACTTTACATCATCTATGATAAGAACAGTCTAGACTTCTATCTATACTCCAGGGAAGTCAATATCAGAACTAGGAAATAGACTGGTCTCCCTTTCTTACACAGATAAATGCCATCTCTTTTACCTAATATTGGACAACTTAATGAATTTCTGAAACACTCCACAGAGCAGGGAACTCATCTCTTATCTTCCCTTCTTGACTTCTATAAACTTAGTGCCCTTGCAGGAAAGACCTTCCTGTAAGTTATTACAATAACATATGCATACCTGTTATTACCATATCATTTGTGTTATAATTGCCTCTTTATGTATTCCACTAGGAGAAGGAATGATAAATGGATACAGTTTTATAAATCTGCTGTTAAAGGTAAATATTTTTACAGTAATCTATCTTCATAACACACATACAAAAACTAGGGTTAAATAAAAAGGAATGCAATAATCATCAATAATACTCTTCAAATATTTTACATGATGATAACTTACAATAATGTATTCAGAAAATAAACACCAAGACAAAGTATCAAACATATTCATTTTAGAGTCACTCCTCTGGAAAACTTGAATAAATTTTATATTCAATTTTATTCAAAATTATTTTATGAGTAGAAGCTAAAAATATTCCTCAAATTTCTCTTCTCTACCTGTCTTCCACACCTACTAGAACAGAGTACTATAGAAATTGTGTTTAATCATACTCAATACATATGCACATGTACACATAAAAGTAGATCCATGTTTCTATCATGAGAAAATAAAAGTTTAAGTCAGCAACAAGTATTCTTATGTGTGATATGACCTTGTAACTTTTACTCTATTATAAGAAATCAACTTTCACTGATAAATGTGCAATTTTACATGTAAATTCTTAGATAAATAAATATCAAAAGTCAATAATTCTTCAAGAAGAAAGTCATTACTTTAATAGCCAAATATGGATGGAATTTTACTGGGCTAAAAAAAAGACCTCCTTTCCCCAAAATTTCAGAGCCAGGTTTTTTTGTTTTGTTTTGTTTTGTTTTTACTTCTTCTTTTTTTTAATCCTCACCCAAGGATATTTTTCCATTAACTTTTAGAGAGAGTGGAAGAGAGAGGGAAAGACAGAAAGAAACATCAATGTGCGAGAAGCACATCAATTGGTTGCCTCCTGCACCAGGGCCTGGGCCAGGAAGGAGCCTGCCGCTGAGGGATGTGCCAGGTCCACAGGCCAATGCTCTGTTCACTGAGCCAAACCAGCTAGGGTAGACCAGAAAGTTTTTATTGTAACTTGTACCTAATTTGTAATATATTTTTATTTATTTCAGAGAGGAAGTGAGAGGGAGAGAGAGATAGAAACGTCAATGATGAGAGAGAATCATTGATTAGCTGCCCCCTGTGTACTCCACACTGGAAATTGAGCCCGCAACCTCGGCATGTGCCCTGACAGGGAATTGAAGTGTGATCTCTTGATTCATAGGTCAATACTCAGCCACTGAGCCATGCCAGCTGTGCACTTCTACCTAATTTTTTAGATCAGTTAATTTCTAGGCAAATTCCTAAGCAAATATGTTTTTGGAAAATAGAAAAAGAACTAAAATTCTAATCTCATTTTGTGAGTATGTATATTTATTATTTCAAATCAATTAATGACAATATGCATAAATTAATAGCTATTTTTTCATTGGTAAATGTAGATGCAAAAATCCTATATACTAGTAAACAAATTCAAGAGTATATTAACAAAATATATCATCAATAAATGCATACATCTGCAGCTGAAATAAATAAGACTTAAATCTTTGAAAGCATTTGTTCTGTTTCGAATTGAATGACAATTTTCTAAGTCAGAGTCCAGAAAGACATAACAGAAACCTTTAGTTTATGCTATTTCACACTATATGAAGATTCTAGGTTAACTAAGGATTCAATATATATATATATATATATATATATATATATATATATATATATATAGTTGCAAATATTTCAATAAGTATTTTTTCTGCCAAGAAGACTATAGTTGGTGTAATTGTTGAAGACTGGGTAAGAAAGGGAAATTAAGATAACTGTAACTGCTCACTCTCAAAGAAAACATATTTGGAAGTAATTCTGTAAATATTGTTGTGATATTTTAGATTTACCAGTAAGAGCAGATAAGCTTATGTCCTTGATTACATATAAAATTACTATGCTTTTTTCCATAAAAAATAACAGATTGTATATTTTATACCAGAGATGTTTCAAATATTCACATCATTTGGTGCATCTATAATAAAATGCTTGCAACTTAAAAGTGATATTGCTTTTAAATCACAAAATATAAAAAAGATAATTTTCTGAAAAATTAAGTTGAAAAAGCAGTAAAGCATGTCATGATCTAATTCTGTTGAAAACATTTTTTATGAAGATGTGAACTTTTGTTTTTTTCCCCAAGCAAATAACGGCATGGCAAATTTTTCGAATCTGTGTTCCTCATGAAATACCTAATAGCCAGGAAGAAGTTCTCAGGTGTAACCAAGTAATTAAAGATATTAATATTCATTAGAGGCATTTCATTACTCTTGCTAATTTTATGGCTTAACTTGCCCTAAAGGAGACATAATTAGTTTAAGGGCAAGAATTAGCTTTAAGCTTTGACTTTCATTTAGAATAAAGAATTACTCTGTTGTTTTATGCTTTATTCAACGAAAATAAATGATATTTTTGTCTCTGAGAATTACTTCTTAACTATCTGCTAGAAAGGCTCATTTTTCCAAGGATGTTAAAACTTGCTGCAATTCCAGACCCATGGATTCAAAATGCTAAAACTTTTAAAATATTTTAAATATAGTTTAGGTCCTGAATATCTGAGTATTACATTCTCAAATCTTTCTGTTAATCTGTCACAGATTAACATTTAAACAGTTATAGTCTTGACATTGAAATATATTTTTATTATAATTTTAATTCGAGCTAGGTTTTAATTATGGATAACTGACTGAATAGTATCAAAGTCTGAGGATTTGGGGAAAATAATGGTATCAGTGGAAAAGCAGGATATTAATATAAGCAATATGACTTTAAATAGTTCATGACTCAAACAAAAGTCAAATCTGTAACATATCAAATTTGCTGGTGCTCCTAGAGTGCTTGGGTAGATGTAGAGTAAGCCTTGAGAGTTGCTTTTTTCTTTTTTTGTAATGCCAGGGCATGACTTAAGCTGGACTACAGAAGCCTTCACTGCAAAGAAGTGTTTATTTCAAAGATGGCTATCTCAAGTAAACACATTGCCAGCCACAGAAAGTTTCATTTTCTCTCCGCCCTTCCCCCCACACTTATATCCACTCATTGGTTTTCGAAGTTTTGGTTGATCGCCACAACTCATTGATAACTGTTTGGATTGCTTGTTTTTCTCTTCCCAAGCCTAAATTCCCACTCTTATGTTTTAAATTCACCAATAAAGAGTGAGCCCATGAAACTAGTCCTTCACCTTCAATCCCAATAAAAGTAGAATCTCAGGCCCAGCTTCCTCTCTTCTCTCTCCTCTCTCTCTCTCTCTCTCTTTCTCTCTGTGTGGCTCCAGGTGTGCCATGTAATTGCTAGGACTCATAAGCAACAAACCTTTTTTATTTTAAATTTCCTGATGGTTATGTAACCAAACCCTTTGGCTGCCTGCTGCAGTGAAAGCTAAACTTGTGAGACAGGTGCTGGTAAAAAATGGAAAGAGGTTTATTTGAGTGACGATGTCTTGAGAAGATGAGGGACTCCTGTCCTCAAAAACATCCACTTTAATATATCAGTGCAGGCAGAGGTTTTTATAAGGAGGGAGAGGGAAAGTAGAACAAATATATCAGGGGAAGGGGCTGTGGACTTGCCATCTCTCCCACAGACTAATTGAGGAGATGCTGAAGGGAGGTGTGAATTTGCCACTTCTCAAATGCTTCCTCCTCTCATTCCAATGCTATGTCTCTTTAAAGGGAATCTGTAGATACAGCAGACACCTGCAGGTCTTCATGGCTGCTGCCAAGAAACCCTTCTTCCCCAGAATAGGACACTCTAAGCTGTAAAATAAGCTAGATAAGAAGTGAAAACACAAGTGTTTATTTACATACTCTAAGAAAACTGAGTTGGCTGTAGCCTTGGGAGAATGCATAATGCATAACCTTTATTGCTTAATTGAAATATTAAGTTGCAGTAATTGCTGAGGGTGTCTTATAAATCATAATAAAAACAACAGTCACTATCAAAAATCTAAACCCTCTTCTCTCTGAAAGAAAGAAATAAAACAAAATAAAAATATGGAAATTGAGGTTTAAACAGATGAGGATTACATTTATAATGTACATCTCAATTAAAAATATTCTATTATATGAGAAAAGGATATTTTTATATACTCAGTAGATTTATATATATGAATTGGACAATGGAAGTTTAGTTAATGAAAATGTTAATCCTTTGTTCTTTTTTAATATTTGTTGAACATCATGAAAATAAATTTATAAAAGCCCCAATAATTAATAAGAACTGTGTCTACATAATTTTCTATTCATTTTCAGATTAATTTTTTAAAGACTGAAGTGGAAAGAAAGAGCAAAATGATCCGGGATCTTCAGAATGAGGTAAGACATATTTTAGGTGAATTTTATATAAATCAAAGAATATATATAAACATTGATTTACCAAAATCTTTGGAGTATTGATCACATGCACATTTGTCCTTTAGTTATGTACTAATGGAGAGGAACTATAAAGTTAAGAATTTCAAAGAGTAGACAATCACCACTTTTACAAATATTTGATAATGTTATTAGTTCATACATCTCTAGTTCATTTCTTCTTTTATTTTATTTTTTTTTAATATATTTTATTGATTTTTTACAGAGAGGAAGGGAGAGAGATAGAGAGTTAGAAACATCGATGAGAGAGAAACATCGATCAGCTGCCTCCTGCACATCTCCTACTGGGGATGTGCCCGCAACCCAGGTACATGCCCTTGACCGGAATCGAACCTGGGACCTTTCAGTCTGCAGGCCGACGCTCTATCCACTGAGCCAAACTGGTTTCGGCTCATTTCTTCTTTTAATTATATTTTGCTTGGGAAATATTAAAAATTTATTTTTATTTTGTAAGTTAGTCTACCAAATAATAACATAGGCACTGAAGAAGAAAGAAAGCTAGAAATTAACTTCATGCTAGGAAGAACCAATCTAGAATATAAAAAATTATGTATGGATTATAGAATAATGTAGATTTGAACAAAATAAGCTGTAACCACTTTTAGTATAGCCTTTAATATGTAAGGACCCTATAAAAGTCTATATACTTTTTTCTCTTTTAATTACTTCTCTATCTCGTTGTACAATTACTTTTTTTAAAAAAATTCCCCATTGTGTTTATATTTCCACCTCTTTATTCACTTTTTTCTTGAATGGAAGTAATTATTTAGGACTATTAAACCATGACTAAGTAATGATACATCTTTTGTGATCAATCCCACTAATTATGATTTATTTTGAATCCCAAATCAATAACTTTAGCATTTACTAATTTTCTTCCCTTTCTTCTATTCTTCCTTCCTTTCTTTAATTTTTTGAGTAATTTAAAAGCGTTATTCCTAAATAGCTTCCACCTGATGTCAGTGTTAAACAATAGACTTTACAAATGCCTGATGTCAGCATTCAGCACCAGCACTCAGTGACATTAAAATGGTTTATCAGATTTGCAAGGACTGAAAGGAAGAAAGGAAAGCAAGAAAATTTTAAATGATTTTCTGGTGATTCTATTGGATTTTCATATCTTTCCTTTGATGTGAATGCCGTATCAATTTGCAGCTCGGGTTCAGGATCTGGAAAAGAGGCTGCACACAAACAAATGCACTAAACAAAAAACATGAATTTAGAAGGCATGGGGGCCAGGTAGAAACCTTTCTCTAGTGGAGAGGCTCCCTGAAGCCCTGGCCCCATTAGCTTTTATTCAATTTTAGAATACACATCTTGCCCTCAGTTAGGCAGGCAATCCAGTAGCAGACATACTATCTTAAAGGTCAGTAAATATTAGTGAAGATTTATTTTGAGACTATTAGGTCAGGAAATTGCTCGACACACCATTATCTCAACAGAACAATCAGTGCATAGTTTTTAGCCTTGCTAAATCTCAAGGTTCATCAGCCTTCTGAGTTCCTTGTTGTACTTTCATGATAGTGTTTGACAATGGATAGCTTCCAGCACTGTGATTTTTCTTGAGTTTCCTTAAGAAAGTGTGATGGGGTGGACTTGATAATGATTTCCCTAAAACCTAATTTTTCAAGCTCCTTTGTGGATTTCTTGTTTATAGTGGGAAATATCAGCAGATAAATTACCAGAATACTAGGTATACTGGGTGATTTCTTGTTTGCTGGTGCCCAGTGAAAGCTCAGTGAAAGGGGTAGATTACTCAAGTCAGTAACTTTCCATAGGTCATTTAAGACAAGAAGAACATTTAAAACAATGTCAAAGACAGTATTAAAATAGGGGGAAAAAGTACATATGCACACATACACACTCACATAAAGCATAAACCCAGTTGTATGATAATGAGAGATTATTGGTTAATTATATCTCTATATGTCTCATCAGTTAACTTTTAATCTTAGATAATTTTTAAGAAATCTAGCATTCAGCTAAATAAGAGCACTTTCAAAATCAAACAGTAACTTACTCATAACAAATACATATGAGGACAAACAAAATATTTTGTTACTGAGAGATAATTTATAGTATAATATTAATTTTCTAAGTGTGTAAGCTAGAATAATTATAAAAGAAATACAATTCTGCAAAACTAATGTCTAATGAATGTACGTTTTTTGTAATTAAATGTATTACAGCTCACTTTCATAATATTGAAATTTGCAAGATGAAAATTGATAACCAGAAAAGTTTTTTCTAAAAAATAAGAAAAACCTAATGGTGAGCATATATTATCAACTAAATGGTAAACATAGTAAAACTATATAGACACTGTCTGAACTTTTAGTTCAGAAGTAAAAAATAAATAAATAAAAAATGTAAATTGACAAAATATAAAAGATGAGGGTGACAATAGAGGTATAAAGAGATTTTGGCGAGAAGCTTGAAGTCCTCTGACTAATTCTAAGTGAAATTATCAGTAAGTTCCTAAAGAAGAAAGGATTTAAAAAAAATTACTAAAGAATAATGAGAATGTTTTCCATATGTGAAGACAACTATAAAAAGGCACTTTACATTAGCACTTAGGGATTTATTTTTTAAATTTAAGATGTCCCTTGGAGGAGAAAATATATTCATACTTTTAAAAAATAAATATTTTTATTTATTTCAGAGAGGAAGGGAAAGGTAGAGAGAGATAGAAACATCAATGATGAGAGAGAATCATTGCCGTGACTGTGAATCGAACTGGTAAACTCCTGGTTCATAGGTTGATGTTCAACCACTGAGCCAAGCAGGCAGCAGCATACCGTTTTTATTTTTATTTTTTCAAGCAAGTGTTATGTAGGGCAGAAAGCAATTTGTTTTTTCCATCCATGCAGGTATACCTGTATCAGGCTACTTGGGAGCTTGCGACTCAAGATTGTGAGGCAGAACCCTTCAAACCTAAAATCACAAATGTGAAAGAATAAGGAGAATGAAAGAGGAAAGGAAACCCCTTATTACAATGTGTGTGATAATGTTTAGGACTTTATAAAGGAATACATAGTTGGCTATACTTGATGTAGATTAATATTGAAATAGTCTATATTAAATTAGTGACCAGATAGTGATCAAAGGGAAAAGGAAGGAAGGAAGGAAGGAGGGAGGGAGGGAGGGAGGGAGGGAGGGAGGGAGGGAGGGAGGGAGGGAGGCAGAGAGGGAGGGAGGGAGGGAGAGAGGGAGGAAGGTAACTTTAGGGGCCATCTCCATTCTCTTGTTTTAGTAGAGATTCTTACGATTGATTATTTTCCTGAGACTAATTCAAGATAGTTCAAGTTAAGGATAAAATAAGGAATCATACTAAAAAATAATAAAGTCAGAAACACATGGGCCCCCCTCTGCCCAGTGATGGAAGTCAGAAATTTGTCAAACCTACTGCCTCTCAGTGGCAGGCTTTCCTTCTCACAATTTCATGGCTCAGTTTTTCTTTCTTTCTTATCTCTCAGTTCTTTTGCTCATCTTTTCTTTGCATGGCTCATATAATTTTTATGTTTTGTTTTATTGCTGTTGTTGTAAGTGCCTGGGAGAAAAAATCTTGCCATAGGTCAAGTCACTGCCCAAACTATGGATTTCCAAATAGTTCTAATAACCATTGACACATATCCAGGCATCTGAGGAAAAGAACATGGGTTTTTAGGGGCAATGTGCCAGTTACTATTCTCAGTTGTGGGAAAAAAAAAAAAAAAAAAAAAAAAACCTCTGATAACAAAAGGAGTTATGAAGCCATGTAGGGATTTCACAAAATTGTTAGGAGGGCTGATTATACAGCTTGTAGGCTGCGGTATAGGAACACCATAAACATACCCAGGGCTGGTTGTCTCTGCCAAGTTCAGGAAGCTGTGCACCAGCTTGATGACCTCATCTGGTATCCCACAGCCCTATTCCTTGTGCATAAGACAATGGGTAACATCTAATCACTGCCAGGAGCCGGTCCAAGCAAATCACTAGTTTCTGAATCTACATATTGCAGGGATCATGTCTGATTAGCAAAACCTGTCATGCCTGCTCAGGAGCTGCTACGGAACTTTAGAAATATAGAGGCTATATTTTATTTCTAATGTGTTCGCTTTATTTTTTTTCTTGAAAATGTGGGATTAGTACTAAAAAACTTACACATTATGAAAACATTTTCTAAAATGTGGTGGCCTTTGTATTAACATTTTTTAGGGATAAAAAAGAGTTAGAGTCCATAGTAACCAGCTTTAGTATATGACAGGTCATCATTGAGGGTTCTGTAGTACTTAAAAAAAAATGTGGTAAGGAACACTAATAGAGCATTCCGTTGTGCATGTGTGCTTGTTATAATATCTGGTGTGTACACAGGGCACCTTGCCTGCTTTTATGTGATTTTAACTATGCTTTTGTCTGAATTATTTTCTCAACTAATGCCGAGTCTTTGAGGTTAGAATCCTACCTTCTCTAGAATATTATCATTCACTTTTTCAAAAGTCCTCACCCAAGAATATCTTTTTGCTTGTTTATTTGTTTTTATTTATTGACTTTGGAGAGAGAGGAAGGGAGAAGAAGAGAGAGAAACATTGACGTGAGAGAGAAACATCAGTCAGTTGCCTTCTATGTTCTGACCCGGGATTGAACCCGGATCCTTTGGTGCACAGGATGATGCTCCAACCACCTGAGCCACACTGGCCAGGGCCATCGCTCACATTTTTTACCAATCACAGGGCCAGGACTCTATATACAGTGAGAATAAATTAAGACCACACTTAATCTGTTCTTAGCACCAATGAATTGAATGTCTTCAATAACAGTGGATATAATACTACCTCCAAATTTGGACTTTGAAGCTGATTTACCTAATTTGCTATTTTCTCTACAATGGGGATGCTTAGACACCCTGCAAGATAAAACGATCACTATTAGGTAATCTCTAACCATCCTGAAAATATATGATA